TAGAATTATAAGGCTTTTTTTCCATTTTCATCCGGGCTAGCTAAATAGGTTCCCGGTCTTGTAACATAAATTCCTTTTAACAGTGAAAGGGTCCCTCCAATACCCCTCCCCTGTAAAAATATGAAGGTCTAAATATGGGATCCAAGATGTTATCCAGCCCCCGGGGCACTGTCTTCTACTTATTCAGAATATTTTTTTTTTCAAATTTTGAAGTAAATAGGTTCCTGGTCTTGTAATAAATTCTTTTTGAAAGTAAGGGATACCCCTCCCCTTAGAAATATTTAAATATGGGATCCAGGATGTTATCCCCCCCCCCCCCGGGCAATGTCCTCTACTTAGCATAGTATTATACTTTTTTTCCAATTTTGACCAGGCTAGGTAAATAGGTTCCTGGTCTTGTAACATAAATTCCTTTTAACAGTGGAAGGGTCCCTCCCATACCCCTCCCCTTTAAAAATATGAAGATCTAAAATATGGGATCCAGGATGTTATCCAGGCCCCCGGGCAATTTACTCTTATGCAGAAATACATATAATATAATTATAAGGGATTTTTTTCCAATTTTATCCGGGCTAGCTAAATAGGTTCCCGGTCTTGTAACACAAATTCCTTTTGACAGTGAAAGGGTCCCTCCCATACCCCTCCCCTGTAAAAATATGAAGATATAAATATGGGATCCAGGATGTTATCCAGCCCCCCCCCCCCCCGGGCAATGTCCTTTTATTCAGAAATACATATAATAGAATTATACGGTTTTTTTTTCCAATTTTACCATGCTAGCTAAATAGTTCCCGGTCTTGTAACATAAATTCCTTTTGATAGTCTAAGGGTCCCTCCCATACCCCTCCCCTGTAAAAATATGAAGGTCTAAATATGGGATCCAGGATGTTATCCAGCCCCCCGGGCAATGTCCTTTTATTCAGAAATACATATATAGAATTATACGGGATTTTTTTCCAATTTTGATCCATGCTAGCTAAATGAGTTCCCGGTCTTGTAACATAAATTCCTTTTGATAGTCTATGGGTCCCTCCCATACCCCTCCCCTGTAAAAATATGAAGGTCTAAATATGGGATCCAGGATGTTATCCAGCCCCCCGGGCAATGTCCTTTTATTCAGAAATACATATAATAGAACTATATGGGATTTTTTTCCCAATTTTATCCATGCTAGCTAAATGAGTTCCCGGTCTTGTAACATAAATTCCTTTTGATAGTCTAAGGGTCCCTCCCATACCCCTCCCCTGTAAAATTATGAAGGTCTAAATATGAGATCCAGGATGTTATCCAGCCCCCCGGGCAATGTCTTCTAATTATTATAGCATTATACGGGTATTTCTCCAATTTTGATCGGGCTAGCTTAATAGATTCCCGGTCTTGTAACATAAATTCCTTTTGATAGTCTAAGGGTCCCTCCCATACCCCTCCCCTGTAAAAATATGAAGGTCTAAATATGGGATCCAGGATGTTATCCAGCCCCCCGGGCAATGTACTCTTATTCAGAAACACATATTATAGAATTAAAAGGGATTTTTTTCCAATTTTATCCGGGCTAGCTAAATAGGTTCCCGGTCTTGTAACATAAATTCCTTTTGACAGTGGAAGGGTCCCTCCAATACCCTTCCCCTGTAAAAATATGAAGGTCTAAATATGGGATCCAGGATGTTATCCAGCCCCCCGGGCAATGTACGCTTATTCAGAAATACATATTATTGAATTATAAGGGATTTTTTTTCCAATTTTATCCGGGCTAGCTAAATGGGTTCCCGGTCTTGTAACATAAATTCCTTTTGATATTCTAAGTGTCCCTCCAATACCCTTCCCCTGTAAAAATATGAAGGTCTAAATATGGGATCCAGGATGTTATCCAGCCCCAAGGTAATGTACTCTTATTCAGAAATACATATAATAGAATTATAAGGGATTTTTTTTCCAATTTTATCCGGGCTAGCTAAATAGGTTCCCGGTCTTGTCCCTCCAATACTCCTCCTCTGTAAAAATATGAAGGTCTAAATATGGGATCCAGGATGTTATCCAGCCCCCCAGGAGATGTACTCTTATTCAGAACTACATATAATAGAATTATAAGGGATATTTTTCCAATTTTATCCGGGCTAGTTTAATGGGTGTCCGGTCTTGTAACATAAATTCCTTTTGACAGTCTAAGGGTCCTTCCCATACCCTTCCCCTGTAAAAATATGAAGATCTAAATATGGGATCCAGGATGTTATCCAGCCCCCCGGGCAATGTCCTCTTATTCAGAAATACATATTATAGAATTATAAGGTTTTTTTTCCAATTTTATCCGGGCTAGCTAAATAGGTTCCCGGTCTTGTAACATAAATTCCTTTTGACAATGGAAGGGTCCCTCCAATACACCTCCCCTTGTAAAAATATGAAGATCTAAATATGGGATCCAAGATGTTATCCAGCCTCCGGGGCACTGTCTTCTACTTATTATAGTATTATACTTTTTTTTTCTTCAAATTTTGACCGGGCTAGTTAAATAGGTTCCTGGTCTTGTAACATAAATTCTTTTTGAAAGTCTAAGGGTCCCTCCCATACCCCTCCCCTGTAGAAATATGAAGGTCTAAATATGGGATCCAGGATGTTATCCAGCCCCCAGGTAATGTACTCTTATTCAGAAATACATATAATAGAATTATAAGAGATTTTTTTTCCAATGTTATCCAGGCTAGCTTAATAGGTTCCCGGTCTTGTCCCTCCAATACCCCTCCCCTGTAAAAATATGAAGGTCTCAATATGGGATCCAGGATGTTATCCAGCCCCCCAGGCAATGTACTCTTATTCAGAAATACATATAATAGAATTATAAGGGATATTTTTCCAATTTTATCCGGGCTAGCTTAATGGGTTTCCGGTCTTGTAACATAAACTCCTTTTAATAGTCTAAGGGTCCCTCCCATACCCCTCCCCTGTAAAAATATGAAGATCTAAATATGGGATCCAGGATGTTATCCAGCCCCCGGGCAATGTACTCTTATTCAGAAATACATATTATAGAATTATAAGGCATTTTTTTCCAATTTTATCCGGGCTAGCTAAATAGGTTCCCGGTCTTGTAACATAAATTCCTTTTGACAGTGGAAGGGTCCCTCCAATACCCCCTCCCCTTGTAAAAATATGAAGATCTAAATATGGGATCCAAGATGTTATCCAGCCCCCGGGGCACTGTCTTCTACTTATTATAGTATTATACGTTTTTTTTTTCAAATTTTGACCCGGCTAGTTAAATAGGTTCCTGGTCTTGTAACATAAATTCTTTTTGAAAGTCTAAGGGTCCCTCCCATACCCCTCCCCTGTAGAAATATGAAGGTCTAAATATGGGATCCAGGATGTTATTCAGCCCCCCCCCCCGGGCAATGTCCTCTACTTAGCATAGTATTATACTTTTTTTTCCAATTTTGACCAGGCTAGGTAAATAGGTTCCTGGTCTTGTAACATAAATTCCTTTTGACAGTGGAAGTGTCCCTCCCATACCCCTCCCCTGTAAAAATATGAAGATCAGAATATGGGATCCAGGATGTTGGCCAGGCCCCCGGGCAATTTACTCTTATGCAGAAATACATATAATATAATTATAAGGGATTTTTTTTTCAATTTTATCCGGGCTAGCTAAATGGGTTCCCGGTCTTGTAACATAAATTCCTTTTGATAGTTTAAGGGTCCCTCCCATACCCCTCCCCTGTAAAAATATGAAGATATAAATATGGGATCCAGGATGTTATCCAGCCCCCCCCCCCCCCCCGGGCAATGTATTCTACTTATCATAGCATTATACGGTTTTTTTCTTCCAATTTTTGACCATGCTAGCTAAATAGTTCCCGGTCTTGTAACATAAATTCCTTTTGACAGTGGAAGGGTCCCTCCCATACCCCTCCCCTGTAAAAATATGAAGATCTAAATATGGGATCCAGGATGTTAGCCAGGCCCCCGGGCAATGTACTCTTCTTCAGAAATACATAATTTTATAATAGAATTATTAGGGATTTTTTTCCCAATTTCATCCGGGCTAGCTAAATGGGTTCCCGGTCTTGTAACATAAATTCCTTTTGATAGTCTAAGGGTCCCTTCCGTACCCGTCCCCTGTAAAAATATGAAGATCTAAATATGGGATCCAGGATGTTATCCACCCCCCCCCCGGGGGGCAATGTACTCTACTTATATAGTATTTTTATACATTTTTTTCCCCCAATTTTGACCGGGCTTGCTAAATAGGTTCCTGGTCTTGTAACATAAATTCCTTTTGATAGTGGAAGGGTCCCTCCCATACCCCTCCCCTGTAAAAATATAAAGATCTTAATATGGGATTCAGGATGTTAGCCAGCCCCCCGGGCAATGTAATCTTATAATTATAGTATTTTACGTTTTTTCCAATTTTGACCGGGCTAGCTAAATAGGTGTCCGGTCTTGTAACATAAATTTCTTTTGAGAGTTGAAAGGTCTCTCCCATACTCCTCCCTTGTAAAAATATAAGAGTCTAAATATGGGATCCAGGATCTTAGCCTGCCCCCGGGTAATTTACTCTTATGTACAAATACTTATAATAGTATTTAACGGGTTTTTTTCCCAATTTTGACCGGGCTAGCTAAATATTCATCAATATTGCTTTTCTTCATAAACACGGATTATAATGCGTTATAAAGGTTTTTTGAAGAAAAAAAATTATTAGGACATTTACGGTAATTTGAATAGCGAACCGGGAGACAGCCTGCGGTTCGCCATTCGAATGGTGAATAGCGAATAGCGAATAACCTTCCAACTTCTGATTGCCGCCATAGAGTTACTATCATTAATATTTCAAATGTTTTTATTTAAAATATTCAACAAGTGTCTATATTCTTATTTGTAATTTTCAACCAATTTCACTTCGAAATATAAATGATACGAAGAAATACCATGCACTTTTGAATCAACCCTTGCACATAGATTATTTTTTGTCTTTTTTTTTTATTTTGAAGGGGAAAATGACGAAAACGCTCGTACGTTTAGTTTTATTCCAAATTAAGAAAAATTATAGAAGTTTTTTTTTATTAAACATATGGTATTGCTCTTTTTCATTTCATTGTCAATTGGAGGTTTTACTCAAAAACGTCTACAAAAGAGGTTCCATCTTTCTGAAAAAGGAATTTGATTCCATTCTCTGACGTAGGCGCAGGAGTTGGCTCCCAATGTAGAGTTTCGATAAGTTCCTACCAAAAAGAAGAGAATAAAGTACAATATGTAGTATGTAAGTTGGAAACGATCACTATGCACCAAATACTATGTCACAGTATATGTTTGAAAATGGCGTCTTAAAACTTTCTTGATATCTAAATTCGTAAAATAATGTGATTGAAAATGATGCAAAAAGTGCCATGAGTGTAATACCTGTTAGGATAATTTAGAAAAATCAATATCTTTTGAAAGATCTGTGAAATTACAAAAAAGTTCATGTTGGAAATGAAGACTAAATAATATTTAGAAAATACATCGAACTTTGAATATAGACTGTAGCGACTTTTGTTGAGTATGCCCGAATACGAGCGTGAAATATTGAACGCCTCGTTGTAAACCAAAAAAAATCTAGTCAATTTCTCAAGGCAAATTTATGAGAGGTAGTGGCAGCCAGTTAATGCCTTCTTATAATTTTAAATGAGATTGAGATCATAAATGATTAATATACTGAGTAGTTCATATTACTACCCAAAAACCACAGTTAGCAAACCATAAGGCTAGGAAGGGTAGTTGAAATGGTGCGATATTTAAAGCTAACAGGACAGACGTTAATTTATAAAAGGATGATGAAAAGTTCTTATTAATTTGTGTTATTTAATTTAAAAGTTTGTTGTAAATTAATAGAATTTTTTTTAATTATTTAATAAATAATATGAAATAAAAGAATTATTGAACTTAGATAACTGAATATTGGCATTCGTTGGCTGTATAAGGCAAGCTCGTGCATTTGAACAGCCAATTCGTCAATACATATTCACTAACCATATATCATTCTGATAGAAGTGAAAGGATTGATAGAAATTCATAAAATATTTCACAGAAATAATACAGGGATATAATTTACCTGTGCCGGCTTATATGTAGATATGTTCGTAAACTGTTTTGTGTTATTCCGTTTTTGTCCATGTGAAATGTTTTAGTCTACCGTTTATATCCGAATACTAATTGTTCAGTGTTTCTCGTGTTTTCAAGACTGAGGCCTCTGTCGCGCCACCGTTTTTATCATATTTTAAGACTTTAGAGCCACAATAGAGTATGCTAATAATGCTAAATCAATTTAATGTACATTTTATTTATATGAATTCAGGAATGAAATATTTCTTTGTGTAAATTCAACTTTAAACTTGTAAAAATCAGTGTCAATGTCAGTGATGTATTCAGATTTGTTTTATTCTTTTCATTTGTAGCCTTTAGTGTATTATCATCCTTATGTCATCTGAATGAAATCTGAAATGATAATTGAGGCGTCATATTACCTGAGATAACATAGATCCGCCCCGGTGTGAAGACTACCCCACAGAGTGATCCTCCGGTATACGCGCGGATCCTTACAATGCCGGGCCAAATGTAAGGGAGGGGTCTCTCAGCCTAATATAAAATAAACAGACTAATAAAACATGTATAAATCATTAAATGAAATATAAAATTTTTGTTGTTGTCCTCAAGGACATCTGATTCTAACATTAGTGTGTATTGAATCTTAATGAGACTGTTCACAAATTGGTTTGTCACACTTTTAATGTACAGTTGTGCTTTTTTTCATTTAGTTTTCTGTCACATTTTGTCAATGACTTCTTCTCAAGAACCGCTTTAACCAAACTTGCCACAAAGTATCCTTGGGTGAAGGATTAAAGTTTGTTCAAATGAAGGGCCACGCCCTCATTCAAGGGGAGATAATTGGGAATTAATGAAAATTTAGTGGCATACTTTAAAAATCTTCTTCTCAAGAACCACTGTGCCAGGAAAGATAAAACTTATGGGGAAACATCCTCAGGTAGTGTAGATTCAAGTTTGTTCAAATCATGACCCCCGGGGGTAGGGCGGGGCCAAAATGGCCGACCAAAGTTTTACATAGAAATATATAGGAAAATTCTTTAAAAATCTTCTTCTCAAGAATGACAAAGCCATAATTCATCATATTTATATGGAAGCATGTTCAGGTAGTGTAGATTCAAGTTTGTTCAAATCATGACCCCCGGGGGTAGGGCGGGGCCAAAATGGCCGACCAAAGTTTTACATAGAAATATATAGGAAAATTCTTTAAAAATCTTCTTCTCAAGAATGACAAAGCCATAATTCATCATATTTATATGGAAGCATGTTCAGGTAGTTTACATTCAAGTTTATTCAAATCATGACTCCCCGGGGTAGGGCTGGGCCAAAATGGCCGACCAAAGTTTTACATAGAAATATATAGGAAAATTCTTTAAAAATCTTCTTCTCAAGAATGACAAAGCCATAATTCATCATATTTATATGGAAGCATGTTCAGGTAGTTTACATTCAAGTTTGTTCAAATCATGACTCCCCGGGGGTAGGGCGGGGCCAAAATGGCCGACCAAAGTTTTACATAGAAATATATAGGAAAATTCTTTAAAAATCTTCTTCTCAAGAATGACAAAGCCATAATTCATCATATTTATATGGAAGCATGCTCAGGTAGTGTAGATTCAAGTTTGTTCAAATCATGACCCCCGGGGGTAGGGCGGGGCCAAAATGGCCGACCAAAGTTTTACATAGAAATATATAGGAAAATTCTTTAAAAATCTTCTTCTCAAGAATGACAAAGCCATAATTCATCATATTTATATGGAAGCATGCTCAGGTAGTGTAGATTCAAGTTTGTTCAAATCATGACCCCCGGGGGTAGGGCGGGGCCAAAATGGCCGACCAAAGTTTTACATAGAAATATATAGGAAAATTCTTTAAAAATCTTCTTCTCAAGAATGACAAAGCCATAATTCATCATATTTATAGGGAAGCATGTTCAGGTAGTGTAGATTCAAGTTTGTTCAAATCATGACCCCCGGGGGTAGGGCGGGGCCAAAATGGCCGACCAAAGTTTTACATAGAAATATATAGGAAAATTCTTTAAAAATCTTCTTCTCAAGAATGACAAAGCCATAATTCATCATATTTATATGGAAGCATGTTCAGGTAGTGTAGATTTAAGTTTGTTCAAATCATGACCCCCGGGGGTTGGGCGGGGCCAAAATGGCCGACCAAAGTTTTACATAGAAATATATAGGAAAATTCTTTAAAAATCTTCTCAAGAATGACAAAGCCATAATTCATGATATTTATATAGAAGCATGCTCAGGTAGTGTAGATTCAAGTTTGTTCAAATCATGACCCCTAGGGTAGGGCGGGGCCAAAATGGCCGACCAAAGTTTAACATAGAAATATATAGGAAAATTCTTTAAACATCTTCTTCTCAAGAATGGCAAAGCCATAATTCATCATATTTATATGGAAGCATGCTCAAGTAGTGTAGATTCAAATTTGTTCAAATCATGACCCCCAGGGGTAGGGCGGGGCCAAAATGGCCGACCAAAGTTTTTAAAGATATATATAAGAAAATTCTTTAAAAATCATTTTCTAAAAAATAGCAAATCCATGATTGGTCATGGGACTACTTTTGGATTTAAATTTTACAATAAAAAGCCATTTCTACTTTTTCCTACCCTTAATGCTCAGGTGAGCGATGTGGCCCATGGGCCTCTTGTTTTCATTTAGTGTTCAATGTCTTCTCAATTTATCGTATTTGGTGGGAATTAACTTCGCTGTATATACATAGCTAATCAAACCTGTTTGATGAAGAGTGAACATATAAATGTCAACCAAAGATTAGTCTGAAATAATTTTGATGGTGTATTCCATTACCTGTTTTATCATAATCATAATGTAAACAAATCATTTTAGTCATATTAAATTCTTGCCATCGATCAGAAAGAGAAATTTTGCCTTTATCAAACTTGACGACATTATCGCGACTTAGGATGTGTGCCTTTTTAAAAGAACATAATTTATAAAAATAAATCTTATATATATATATAATAATTGACAGTATTGAAATCCAGAGATCCTATTCATTACTTTCTAGAATAATAAATATATTACAGATCGATGCAATATATATGGAGAGAACGAACAGTACCCAAAGCTCTTGAAAACGTTCATTATATTATACAAATCAGGTAATGGACCTCCAAAACATCAAAGTTGGAAAGGTCAATCGGGAGGAAATAAAGGGTTCGTTCAAAACGAAATACAAGGATATGACAAAATCTATTACTATTCCATCTGAAAGGTCCATTTAACAATACAAAGGAGATGGGTGAACTTAACGTGCAGAAAGCCCACTAGCTTCAGACATATAAAAATCATATTCAAATTGTGAATTTAATATCTAGAATAAAGTTCTTATCAGAGTTTTTTTTTATGAAATCATGAGATACAAAAAGTTTTGGGGATTTTTTTTATTAAAACTTTTTCTTTTATACAAAAAAGTGATATCCATTAGGTTCGAACCCCGGCAATAAAAATCCTGAGTTGCATTCTCTATTGAGACTAGCACGCTAACCACAACGCTACACAAGTCCTGATGAATTGTGGCATTTAAATCATGTTTGTGAAAAATAGTGTTATAGTGTGAAAAAATGACTTGTTTTGTCCTCTTTCGTGTGTGTACAGTATTTCACAGGCAAATAACTTCAACCTTCATGAGATTTGTGCAAGTTGTAGAGATTTTACATAAATTATTATTTAATGTTATATGAAATATGAAGGAAAATTTTGATATAATTGAGATTTAATTTTTCACCTTCATGTTTGTTGCGCTATGGGCTTATCTCACGTCATGTTCACCCATGTCCTTTTGGTGCAAAGAAAATGCAAAAGTGGGTGAGGTGCCCTGAACGAGTAATCATCCCCTGCGACAGGTTGTGTGCTCCTTGTCATAATCGGGAATTCAAGAAAATTTCGAAGACGATTCAGATCATATATAATGGTCTAAAAATTTGTATGATAATATCAGTAAAATATACCCAATCCAAATGAGTAATTACTTTTCATTGTAGAAAAACGAATTTTGTCGATGCTTTATAAAAACATATACGAGTTTGTAATAATTTACAATCTTCATCCGATCCGATACACTCTTTTGAAACTGTAATTGTATGCAATTGTGTCAAATGTTCGGAATTAATGTAAATAAGGTCTGCTGATATTTAAGAGTTTATTAATATTCATTTCTTTAGTTTGATTTTTTTCTGTTATGTAAAAGCGGCCTTTTTATTTCCTGGTCAAAAGAACTTAAAAAGAGAAACGTAATCCTCATCCCATCACCTTATAAACCATATGACGTGTTTTATGAATTTTAATGAAACATTCCTTTAAGGATGCATGATCTTAAGAAAACGAAAAATAAGTTAAATTCTTCACACGTACCTTATAGATTTGTAACACTCTAACTGTGTAGATATTTTCACCATTTATTCCGGGTTCAAGGACTTGTAGTCCTAATACTTCTCCTAAGATGGCTTCAGCGATTGTAAAAGAAAAAATCGGTTAGAAAATCTGTTATACGTTAGTATGGAATTTCTTTTATTTATATGTACACACATTCATAAATATTCCTTATGGAAAGGAAAAACTCGAAATTTTTGCATTTTTATTTTTTTTAATATAAAGGAATTAGAAGGTGGATATGGAGATAACGAACAGTATTCAATATCAAAGTCCATAAAACATAGGAGCAGAACAAACATGGATCTCCAAAACATCAGAGGTGGGATTAGGTGCCATGGAGGGTGAGCATCCCCAGCTGACCGGTCACATCCACCGAGTGCTACTTGTCATGATCGGGAAATAACGGAAAAATAAGGCTCTTTGGATTAATTTCGCAATTTTTCATGAGACGTTTAAGTGTTTTTAAACGTCATGTCGTTACCAAGTTTTTTTCTGTGTTTATTTATTCATTTATTTAATAAACGTTGCGTACCGTAAACGGATTACACGAGGAATGTTTGGATAGTTCGTGGGCAATGTCATTTTTCGTTATATTACTTAAAAAAATTGAAAATTATTACATCATAAATGTAAAAATTATTGATTTTCTTGATGTGCGAGTTTTTTTTCAACTAGTTTAATAAAAATCAATTTTCTTAATATAAGATTTAGGATGTTTGGTAACCTCAGAGCAGCATTAGAACGTCAAAAACATAGCATCTGTAATTTCTGAAAATATTATCACTATACGAAGGTTTTCCCAAAAGTACTTGCTACTCTGTATGCTTTAAGGTAGGATTCTTCTTACACAAAACTGTATTTCTTGTATTTAAAAATTTTCACAGAATCACGAAGACAATATTTAAGCATTGAATTCATATTTTGGGATGTCTGCGGTCCTGTAACACACCTGGCCGTGCCCCAAATTGAATACCGCGCGTTAGCGCGGCATGATAATTTGTCGGCACGGCCAGGTGTGTTATAGGACCGAAGAATTCCAAAAATATGAATTCAATGCTTATATGTACATTCTCTATAATTTTCCTTCTTCATAATTGCTTATTTCGTTAATCTTAAATGCGAATTTAGCGCCCTTCAAAACTGACGTGGTTAATGGATGTAAGAGTCGTTTATGACGTCAAATGACGTTGCAAAGTTAAATAACGCAAACAGACATTGCGAGGGGAAAAAAGTGACAAATTAATTCTTATCGCACATTACGTTAATTTTTACGTTAATTTTTCAGGGTTATAGATTTTTATTAAATTGAAATAAAACATTTTACATTTTGGTGTTCCTAGAGTATTGAAAATGCATATAGTTCCTACTGTGTATTCAAACGCGCGGTGACAACGTTTCGCATGTGTTATAGAAATTTGAACGTCGTAGATTTCTAATGGATTTCATAAGGAAAATTACACTGAATGTAGATATTATTAAGTGATGGTATCAGTTAGATTAGTTTTGATTGATTTTTATTAGAGTCAAGGTCAGGTCAAGGCCATTACCTTTTCCCTAGACATTAAGAATAAGAATTGCTGCAGTGAATCGTGTGATAGCGTCCTCTATTTCAAAAGATTAAATGGTTTTTTTTTTTTGCATAAGAAGATATTACCATAAAGGGTCTATAAGATGATATTACCAAATTGACACAAATTGTTTAACAAAAATGGAATTTAGCTAATCCGAATTTTCTCTATTTTTCTTAATTTTTTAGGATATTTAAGTTATTTTTATATGCGACCTATACCTAAATTATTCTTATTTTCACATATGGTAAAAAATGTCATATAGAGATACAAAATGATACAAAAACAAAAACTTTTGACCCTCTACTAAAAGAGTAAAAACACTTTCTATGGATTTTTGGCTCATATATGTACTTAGATTGGAAGCTTTTAAAAGCTAACATAATAATTGTAGTTTGTTTGAAAAATCATATTTATTTGATATATTTTATAACTTAAGTTCCTTATTATTAATTTTGCTAACACGAAAAATTCTTGAAGACTTTGATTGTGTAAAAATCATATCTAAATTCTTTGTTCTATAATCATTTTGAAAGGCAGAAAAGATATTTTCATACACCACCATTCCGCGAAAAATGTAGTGCCTACTAGTTTTTGAACACAATTTACATTTCTATCTAAAATTGAACAATTGTGATGAGGAAAGAAAAATACGGTCTTTTAAATTTCTTTCACCTAGATATATAAGACATATAAGCAAATATACATTGAATATTTAATCTACTCAGAAATCAGAGAGAAATCCTATCTTCAATGGAAATAAAGATTATTGATATTGTATCATAAACTCCAGTTCCTCAAATTTTGGTGTTGATACTTTAACAATATGAATGTTATAACGTTTTATATACACTGGGTTGAAATCATGTCGGCTTTCAATCGGACTTCCTTTTTTTCAAAAAATGATTTTTTTTAGCAGCAAACTATTCATTCAAAATTGGAAACATGAAAGCATTTATTTTTATATTTCATTTAAAGAATATGAATAAAGACTTTATTTAGAATATTATTTGTAAATAACAAAATTTTACAAGTTTTACCTGTCAATAAGTTTAAAATAAATATGACATATTGTAAGTTTATTAAAATATTATTGTAAAATAATCTACCACATATATATTTGATCTGAGGTTAAAAAAAAATTTCGTAGATATCTAAGAACTTTCCGAACAACATCGTAATCTGTTCTGGTTTGTTTTAATGTATGAAACATATGGAGATAACAAACTACTACTACTATGCATTTTTTCATGAACATTCTGGTTGATTAACAATTAAAATTTAAAAAAAAAATGGCAAAAAGTGTTCTTATCAAATTTTAACTTAATATATAATAAATCTTACATGTCTTTAATCCTTGCTTATTTGATAAGAGAGATTATCACTAATAACATTTATCACTTTGAACGTTTTACTATTAATCTGATAGCAAATCAGTATACTTTTGCAATTCTTATGTATACGTATGTACGTACATATATTTATTATAAAAAATATATAAATTTAATAAAGAAAACATTAAGAGTAATTGTAATTACTCACAATACTGTGAATTACATCCATTCGTTGGTATACCGGCACATGTACAAGCATCACCCAATCCTACATAAAGCACCAAAAGAAGTAACGCCAAGATAATTCTCATCGCTCCCTATACAGTCTCCAAAAACTGAACTCGTAATGATCATTTGTTTCTTTTAATTTATTGTTAGTCGGGGAATTCCTGCTTTTTTATCATTCCGATGAATTCTTACTGCACGATCATTTGATTTATGGGATGAATTTTCAATGATGTTATATAAAACAATTAGTAACATTCTCATGTTACAAAAGAGTAAAGATTACAAGCATAAATCATTCATTTGACAGATCACTGCGTACATGGAATTGTGAAATGTTTGACCGCAAATAACATTTTGGAATTTAAAAAAAATGTAGTAATTAGCCTTTGTGGCCAAACATAACAAGGTAATTAATTGTTTGAACCGATTTCAATCGATATCAACGTTTCTTTTGCCTTCAATGTTACGAAAAAAGTTTTTGCAAATCTTGAAAAATATATATATCCTTTTAGATATACTTTAAAGATTAGAAATCTTTGAAACCAGAGGAAACAAATATGTTGAGAAAATAATCTTTTCATATTCAATTATGATTTTTTAAATATATTTTATTTTTAACCAAGTGTTCCACTGAATTTGTTGCTGAGACATTTTATAAGAATGAATACGTCAATCAATGAAATAGATAATTTTAAAATTATAGTTCCTAACCTACCTGCAGGATTTTATTCAAAGTATTTCTTTCTGCTATAATCCTGTAATTAATTGTCAGAAATAGTTTAAGATGTGATATTTGAAATGATCAGTCGGCAATGGTAAAAATTCAATTCCTCACGCTCTCGCAGGAGTTCCTCTTGTTACTTTTTGAAAGATTTCTAGCACTGTGTTCCCATTTTATTTGATAAATCATTCTTTATTTCACCAATAAAAAGATAAATAAATTAATCAAATTAATAGATTACATATAGGATCCCCCATGGTTTGTAGTTGGATATGATTTTTATCCAACGAGTTGTGTGATTTTTATCCCCGAGCCTTGGCGAGGGGATAAAAACTCTCACAACAAATTAGATAAGAATCATATCCAACTACAAATCAGGGGGAGATTCTTTTTATCCAATGTTTAATACTTTATAATTCCAATCTTCATTGTATCTATTGATTTCCTGTGTTTTGATTGGACGAGAACACGTTTAAGAAAAGTTTTACACATCGATAATTTTTTTTTCAATCGGAACTACTTTCTTGACTAAGCTTCTACATGTAGTTTATCGTATAAACAACGAAAGCAGTTATTTCTTGTCTGTTTTGGATAAATTATAAATACAAGAAACTTCAAATTTAATTGATTAAAACAAAACTGGCGACATGCTAGGATGCCCAGCTGACGGACGCCATGAAAATGTTAATGTCACTAGCTGTTCTATCACGAGTGTGAATTTTAAAAATCGCTGTCTCAACGTTCATAATACGAAGATATAATCAACTCAGTTTGTATCGTTTAGACAGGGAAAAGAAACGTACCTCAAACTCTCACCCTATAAGCACCAAATTCATATTTACTTTCTATACTGTTCCTCAATCTTTGAACAAACAAGTGCAAATCGAAGGCGTCGTCGGTCTGCAACTTTCGCTATGAGAGTTGTCGTTTATGTCAACATGGCAATGGTCAAGGACGAACTATTACAATTACGATATTTGTTGACTTAAACATGTCTTAACACTGTTTTATATAGGACTAACGAATTGTATGGAGGCCTCAAAGATAATCATATTGGAATTATAAGAATTATGAGTGTAAACTATATCAAAACTTAACATAAAAGTGGATTTTAAAGGGATAAACATAAATTTTTCAAAAAGTGATGTTTAACATGTTTTATAAAAAAATCAATATCATAAAGATAATTGATAAATAAAAAAATCAAAATGATAATTGAATGAATGAATGATTGATTGATGGTTAATTGTTTAATGTTCCTCTCGAGGATTTTTTACTCATATGGAGAAGCCGCAATTTACCTTGGAAGAGTTGCAAAATTTGTCTCATACATTGAGAGAGAAGGTTATTTTTCGTGCCAGCACCTACTGCGACGTGGGACCTTGGTTTAAACGGTCTCATCCGAAGGAACGGTCTCTACGCCCAACAATGGGATTCGAAACTGCGACGTAAGGATAAACACCTTACTTCGGGACTAAGGTGGCAGGGGATAGTTTCGTAGTTCCTAGACGGAACAAGCCCTGGAGAGAAATGACTGGGATTCTAAAAAACAGAAGAGGTGAGATCAGGTGCAAGCGAGGAACAAAAATTCTCCTGCTGACCGATCTTTATCATATAATCGAGGAAAATGATAAACCTGAGTAGACAACTAAGTGTGTAAGTAATGGACTTACAATTAATACGAAAAAGTCCATTTATCACCTGCTTTTAATATAGTATACCTGTAGATTACCAGTAGTAAAAACGCAATTGCTCCATAATGGCATAAAGAAAAAAATATTCTAGAAAACAGCCTCATAAGTATATTTAAAAAATATATTCCTGAATAGGAATCAGGCTTATAATTACATACAAAGAACATTGATAGATCTCAAATGAAACCAAACAATGCATTTTTTTTAAAAAGAACATTAGACACGGAACCCTGAACATTGCAGAGGTGCCTTAAAATGACAGTTATCCACGTTCATATATTCCCACTTCACATTGCACTTTATTTTGGACGCCTGCTAATCGATCAATTGCACAACCAGCAGTTGTGTATAACAATCAAAAGAGATCGATTTCCGGTTGTGCATTTGATGCAAATAATTCCAGTACACAGGTAGTAAATGGACCCGATTCAGGCAATAATTGATATTTTTATTAAAATATAAGAATGTGATTCCATGAGCAATTTATTTTTCTTTAATTTTACACTCTCATAAAATACAGTGATTGTCTATTAGCGACTATATTTATTTTGAAACAAGGGCTGGTAGAGCGAAAACGCTGATTGAAAATAGTATTCGCCGACTAAAATTCGTTTTCATCTCAACAAACCTTGAAAATTCAATGTTCACCATGAGTATGCTACAAGTGCATCCCATCCACCAAAATTGGGACTTCGATTTGTGTATAATTTGACAAATATTCGAGGAAAATAACATTGCTGATGCATGCGATCATTCAGTTGTGAAAGAGATTTTGGGTTATGCATGAGATGAAGGACAAAAAGTTTCAAACTTTATGAATAAAATTAAATATCATATAATTATAACGTAGTCTTGCAAAATTTAAAATATAAAATTATAGGATTTTCTAATAAATAGGTTGAAATTGTGGAAAAAAAGAGATATAAGATAAGTAAACTGTTGAAGTAGATTTGTTAGGGGAGGGGGTTAAAGTTTCAGTTACAAGCAATATAATTACATTAAAAAAATTATGTGTGTATTATTTAGATCATATATCTTGAGTGAATTATCCAATGCATCTTTAATATGACTATTCCGTATGCCAAAAAAAAATAATAATAATAATAATAAAAAAAAATAAAAAAAAAATAAAAAAGATAAAATAAAATAAAAAATAAAAAAAAAGCATATCAATAAACTTCTTTCAGTACGAAATTGTTTAACTCAAACATAACTTACCTTTATTTGACGGTACTGCAACAAAACTGGATAGTTATAGGAGGGAAAGACAGAATTTTTCATACTTTCATTTCATATATATTTTATAGTAAATATTGCTGTCTGTGAAAAAAAAATAAGAGACAGGCTCTCGATGATATGTGTTTGCTATGGGGTAAGTATTTCCTGGTGTTTTGAAGCTGGGTATCCTGAATTTTGTTATCGAGATGGAAAGGATCAAGATGACAACACCACATCACAGGTGCTTGTGGACAGGACCCCCCCCCCCCCTCCCGATATTCAACCCCTGGACCTGTTGGACACTTTTTTTCTCACAAATTATATTTATTACATTTATTCATCGTGTGTACCATAGGAGAAAAAATCGTCAAAAACCAAAAAAAAAAAAAATCGTTCGATAAAAAATACCCCTTCTAAACATTCCAAATAAAATTGATGCAAAGCATCAAATAGGCCGCAATGTTTACAAATTCAAAAATTACTAGTACTTTCTTAATTTCAAAAGCATCAATGCATGGGAAGCACAAAATATTGAAAGCTGAAATAGATCATTTTCATTTCAGACCGTCAAAGCAAAAACAAATAAAATGTTTTTTTTAATTAAATAGAAATTTTAGTGCATTTGTTCATCAAATGGAGTCATCAATGAATCAATAAAAAAGTCAATGATGAATGATAAGAATTTATGAATGAAGATGTAGACCTCTCAAGATGAACCACATGCTGAAACCCTGGATCTTCGTCACGTGATAATACCCATGGTTTCTGCAGTATGCTAATCAAGGCGCGTAGTATGATGAAAAAATGTAAGAAAAATCTTTTTGTTGTCACATCTGTAGCACATTCAAAATAATTTTTACTACAGTGTTGGGAAAAACTTTTTCAATTTTTATTCACCTTTTAACTTTTACCACTTCATTATTATCCGGAAAATCACGACGATTTCCTTTCATATCTTGAACACTCCCTGGTTGGGGAGTACCTATTGTAAACTCTTTCTATTTAACCATATATTACTAATTACCCAATTAGAAATGACAATGAAATTGAAACAACAACAATAAATGCTCAGTTTAAAGCAAGTTTTTAAAATTAAGATTAGTTTAAAGAACTAATGAAAAATAACGTCTCATTTCCATATATAAGAGATCGGTCGCTGCTGCTGAAAAAGTCAAAATGTGCTTGCAAAAGTGACTGAAAATCATTGGCAGATCTAGAAGGTGGTTCCTGGGGTTGGACCACCCCCCCCCCCCTTGATTTTTGCAGAGAGAGAGAGAGTTATGTAACATGGATATTTTATTACGTTTAATACTTTGAAAAAAATAATACGTTGAATAAAATAAATATTATGAATAAAATAAATACTTTGAATAAAAAAAAATATTTCGAATAAAATAAATACTCAGTACACTGTACATGTTGTTCAATCTCTGTCCTTTCTGATCGCTATAAATAGAGTTCCCTCGTTTAATATGCTTTC